GGGCAGTCGTACGTCCGGTGCGGGGGCAACGAATCGGCTTCCTGCTTCGAGAAGACTGAGCCAAACGACTTGTACTCCTCGGGGATCGACGTCGAGAGGGGCGTCGGATCCGGATCGGTGGCAGGAAGGACGAGGACTTGGAACACAGTCAGGGGGTCGGGGCTAGACTGTGTGTCGAGGACGGACTGCTCCAACGACTTGTACCTGATCGCTTGGACACGGACAGGAGCGGGGCTGGGAGCAACGGGACCGGGGAGACCAGGACGGACGGAGACGAGACCGGAGGGACCAGGACGAGCAGCACAGGAACAGGGCACCTCACTCGGAACACAATCAGAATAACGTTGAGCGATCACTTTATTCTGATCATCTTCGCGAGTACAAACGGTGCGAGGCGAAGAAGCGAGCACCACAGTGGTGTCGGTAGAGGCACGAGGGAAAACATTGGGTGTGTCGCCAACAAGAGGAAGGGGAGAAGGAGAAACGGAAGAAACGGAAGGGAGGGAAGAGGCATCCACAACCTTGAGGATGTGGTTTGCAGGACGGGGAAGGCAAAGGAGTCCACGAGCCCAGTGGAACCTGGGTTCGATGGACTGCAGCCAGGGATAGCCAAGGATAACAGGTTGGTGGGGAGACTTAATGACATCAAAGGAAAGGTGTTGAGTGTAGTCCCCAAGAACAATCTTGAGGGGTTCCGTCTCAAAAGTGATGGGGCCGGAAGAAAGTGGCTGGCCATCGACACCTTGGACAGGGAGGGGAGTGGATTTGGAAACGAGGGGGACCGAGAAGCGGTCAACAAAGCTCTCGTCGATGAAGTTGCCGGAGGCACCAGAATCGACGAGAAGTTGGCAAGAGAGGGAGCGACCAGAAGGGAGAACAAGAGAAGCGGAGAAAACGGGAGAAGACGAAGAAATCGACGAGACGCACGAAGAAGGCTCGGAGCAGAGATCAGTGTCGGCAGCATGGTTCGAGCAGATGACCAAGTTCGCAGGTGGTGTGGAGATCGGGAGCTCTGTCAAAGACATCTGGGAGCCAGATGTGCCCTTAGAAGAGGCGGGTTTGACAGAGTGCGATCCACCACCGACTACATTGATCATTCCACACATAGCCATGCGTTCGACACTTACCTCATGCTCCTTACCATCGACGCTTGCTTCTGGAGGAAGGGGAGACGGCTCCAGATCTAAGCCTCCACTTAGATCTGGGCCTGGTCGTTTCCCGACTCGAAGTGTTCCTCCTCACCATCATCGTAGACGATGGTTCGGACAACCTTCGAACGGGGACGGGAGCCGGGAGCCTGAGGACGGGAGCCGGGGAAGCGGGAACCAGAGGCGGGAGCACGGGAGCCGGACTTGAGGGGGCAGGACTTGGCGACGTGGCCGGGCTTGCCACAGCGGAAGCAGAGGCGCTCCTGGAAGCGGCGGTTCTTCTCCTCGGGGGTCAGGCGGCTGACGACGGCGGCGTCGATCTGCATCGGCTCGGAGTAGAGAACCGGAGGCTCCTGGGCGGGCGGCTGGAAGGACGGGGTGCGGGAGTTGAAGGCCTGGGTGCCGAAGGAAACAGGGCCAGTGTTTCGGAGCTCGTTGTTGAGCTCGATGATGCGTGCGTCGATCTTGAGGCAACGCTCGACGAACGGGACCAAGCGGAGAGGGAGAGGGTCGATGAAGGAGAGGCGCTGCTTGATCTCCCTCGACAGGCCACGGCGGAAGGCGGAGATCTTGGCTTCGTCGTTCCAGGGAAGGTCGGCGGCAACGCGGAGGAACTCTGAGGCATAATCCATGCACGAGCGGTTGCCCTGTGCCATGGAGGAAAGGAGCAGCTCGGCAGTGTGGGTGCGGTCGGGATCGTCAAACGCTTGGCGAAAGCGTTCCATGAACGAGTCGAACGAGTGCAGGATTTGATCGTTCGACTCGATCAAGGGAGTCGCCCACTGGAGGGCCGGACCAGTGAGCAAACTCAAGACGTAACCCACCTTGACTTGCTCGGACGGGAACCTGGATGCCTGGAGCATCATGAGCAGGCGGCACTGGTTGACGAAGGGGCGGAACTTTGACCTGGTGCCGTCGAACTTGTCCGGGGTCGGCATGTGCGGGAGCTGCGGGGCGGCGGAAGAGTGTGTGGTCCGGAGGAGGACCAGTTCCTCCTGGAGGGCAACGATTTGGGCCTGGAGTTGGTCCATGTGGGATATGGGGGCGGGGGGGAGAGTGCAGAGAAGACAACAGAGAATAGAAGGATGAGGGCAGCAACGAAGCCTCAGCCAAGCAGGTGGTCAGACAGAGAGAGGGAGTTCGAACAATATGTGAGGACCACGACAAGCAACGACACTGGACGACCAGGTGCTTGGCGAACAACGATAAGCTATATTACGACTTATCAGATAACAACAAGTGTTGTTCGAACTGCAGATACAAAATGGGTGCAAGAAAGGAGGGGCTTTATAGCCAAGAGGGAAACCGAAGGGCGAAAGTGGGCGAGAGGGGTGGAGCGACAAACGAGGGACGAGATGGGGGTGCGAGGGAGGCGGAGCTGCTAGAGAGAGGGGCGAAGCACAGCGCAGTCGGAGGCGAAGTAAGAGTCATCGGCGCCAGCCAATCAGGGAATACACGCCAAGACAAACAAACATGACTCACGGTGCATCACGCGCAGCAGTCCACACGTGTTCCCAACGTGCATGATCATCACAGCCGTTGCCACCCGCGTCTACTGGTTTCCTGCCTCCCCCACCGCTCGGCACATGTCCCCGGGCTGTGCCAAGCCTCTCTCGCTTGCACACCAGCCACTCTCGCACCCCCTTCTCGCTTCTCTGTGATGCTCCACCCTTCTCGCCCACTTTTGCCCCTCGACCTTCTCCCGGTCTATAAATAGCCCTGCATGTCTGAGCCTATGTTGAACACCAGTTCGAACAAAACTTGTTCTTTGGTGTTCGGGGCTAAAAGCTAATAAAGCTCATACCAAGCACTTGGTCTTCGTCCTTGCGCTTGTTCACTCCTTACATGTCTCGAGCTCTTCGAGAAACCAGGGCAGACTCCACCCAAGGCCGATCTCGAGTTCCTCTATCCAGACTTTGGCCACGTCCTGGACGAGTTTCGGTACAGCAACGACCAGGACCGCTTCCGGGCCCTTCATCGCCTCTCACACCATGTGAGAATCCTCGCCCGAGACAAGATGGTCGACAATGTCCACAAGTGGATCGACTGTGACATGCCCGCCCTCCGAGTCACCGAACTGCAGCGCCAGGCCAAGCTGGACGAGCTCACTACCCAAGGCATTCCCTCCGACGACAAGAGGTTCACCACGGCCAAGTCTGAGCTCGGCACCACCAAGGCCAAGATCAACAAGCTGGCATCCAGGATCAAGTGGTGCCTCAAGCAGCTCGCTCTCGACACTCCTCCGGCCGTGTGCACGATAGTTCCTCTATGCACTGCAAGGGCCAAGTATGTCAAGATTGACACGGTCACTCTTTGGAATCTCCTTGGTCCAAAGAAGCGCCTTGGACTCACCAGGGACAAGCTCAAGGAAGAAGGTGATGACGGCATCAACAACCAGGATCGTCTCTGGCGCAGTTGCTTCAAGCTGCGTAGTTCCCTCTTCCAAGAGCGGGACGTGAACAAGAAGCTGTTCAACTACGAGATCAGCACCGATGGCATTGGATGCACCATCGGTCTCGTCAAGTTTGTGCGTCGAACCGATCACACCGAGACCATCGAGCCTCCTCCGACTGCCGAGCAGCGTATCCAGGCCCACATCGGTGACCCAGACCCCAACCGCACCACTTGGATTGGCATCGATCCTGGAGTCGGCTCCATCTTCACGGCGGTCATCCAAGCACCGGGCCACCAAGACGAGGTGGTCTCATTCTCCAACGGCCACTACCAGCACATGTGTGGCCATACGTCCAACACCAAGTGGCACAATATCATGAAGTATCGACTCAGCATCGAGACCTGGATGTCGACCACCCCCTCGCCCAAGGTGTCGTCCTCGGAGGCTTTCAAGGTCCATCTCACCCATGTCCTGCGACCGGAGCTGCGAGTGCAGCTCGACTTCCACCTTGGCAAGAAGACTCGTCACCATCGCTTCACGGGCCACAAGAGACGCCAAGTGGCCGTCGACAGGATGTGCAAGGCCGTCCTGAAGCACGCCCCGATACGGACCGATGTGGTGATCGCCTTTGGCAATGCATCATGGCGACAGGGCAAGGGCTATGCATCCAGCCCTCGGAGGCAGCGGTTTGCTCGGTACTTTGAGCAATTCGAGCACCACCGACGCCGTCCCAATCACCATCATGGAAGCGTCAAGGTAGTCTCGACGAACGAGTTCAACACCTCGCAGGTGTGCTCCAAGTGCCTGGAGCCAGTTCGGTTGGAAGGACTCGATGCGCCCAGTGTTGCGAATTCCCACTTTGTCAGGAGCTGCAAGAATCCCAGCTGCCGGACAGTGTGGAATCGCGACGTCAATGCGGCGCGCAACATGATCACAGTATGCAGGTCGATTGTGGAGATCGGAGAGCGACCGGCGGTCTTCACTCGGAGGCTGCCAAAGTGATCTGTTTTATTTCTTGTGGCTTTGCTTGACGCATGCCATCACATACTACATGTTCATGGAAACGGCTATATTGTCCCGTTTTTTTCTGAATATAGTGTATTTATTGGATTGACTGTAAGCGCAACTCACCCTGTCCACATCCAAAACTGCGGCGCACCGATGCCGCACAGCAGCCAGAAAGCGAGAACAGGCGGGTGGAGACTGCGGCCTCTCTGCCGGTCCTTGGGAGGGATCTCAGAGACCCGGGTGCCCGCTCTGCAAAACGGCTGCCCGGACGGGCAACATGCATATCCTGCTCGGCTGGACATGGCCGTGCTGTGCGGCAAGGAGCACCTCGGCCGTCCTCGCTGGCCCTCTTGCTCCGCGCTCTCGCTGTTTGTTCGGGCAACGTGCTCGGCCGTGTGTCACATAGAGCCCCCAGGCTCCTGGCGGCCCGGAGCGCTGCCGCTCTTCCTCTCGAGATCTCGAGGAGTTTGTCTTGGAATCTCTTGCCGTCAGCCCCGGGGGTGCCACCATCGCACACTCTCCGCTCCCCACCCCCATCGCCCAGTCCCTCGACTGCCGTGTTGTCTGGCCTGCCGCCCGAACCAGCTTCTCTATCTCGCCAATCTCGTCAACCTGCGTGCTGCGAAACGATGGACACCGCACCATCGGCCGCTGCACAGCCCTCATCGTCATCCTCGCCGCCGCCCGAAGCACCCTCAACGTCGTCGCCTCCGCCAGCGTCGCTGCTGCCCACCCGCAAGAGAGTCAAGGTCTACCAGCTTGATACCGAGGGTCAATGGATCGACAAGGGCACTGGCCATGTGGCCTGTGTCCTTGACCAGGTCAGCCCTCGTCTCGCCGATATGCCTGCCAGTCCTACGCAGGGTCGGCCGTCGCGCAGCAGACTCGCTGCTCTGTTGGGTTCGTCTGCGGCGACGATCCGTACCCAAAACGCCATTTGTCTGCCGGCTTGCGAGACTGATTCTGAGACGCCTCTTTGCTGCCGACAACACAGGAGCTGCATGGCATGTGTTTTCAGGTCAAATCGGAAGAAGATGCGTCCGTGGTTCTACTCTCAAGGATATCCCCCGACAGCGGTGTCTATCAGCGACAGCAAGGTTGCTTGTTTGGCCTGCCTCGTCGAGGCGGAACATGAGCGTGCACATCCGCATCGCACCAGAGAGCCTCGGCCGACACGCTTCTCACCGGCCTGTGCCATCCTCTGTGCTAGATACGCTGATTGTCTGGAGCGAACCAAGCGGCGAAGACTATGCTTTGAGCTTCCAAGAGGCACAAGGTTGCCAAGATATATGGGAAGAGCTGGAGGATATTCAGAGAACCCAGGAGAGATTGCCAGGTGGGGTTGCCGCTTGCATTCATCGACACTTTTGCGCACATGGCCGGTGCGAGCCGAGTCGATTTGCAGCAACAAACAGCCGCGATTTCTCTGTCTCTCTCTATCTCTCTGTCTCTCTCTATCTCTCTGTCTCTCTGTCTCTGTCTCACTCTATCTCTGTCTCTCTTTCGTTCGTTTGTCGATTTGATTCTGGTTTGTGCTTATCTTCTCCCTCTCTTCCATGATCTTATCTATGACTCTCATGGTCGGGATGCTTCGTATCCCGTCGCGCGGATCTGGCTCAACCTCCATTCGCACTTTTGTCGGCACAACCACGTATCTGCCTCGAAACGATATTGCTTTGCCGTACTCGGACATAGCCGCCACGTCTCTCCCCGACCCCACCTTGGGAAATCTCAAGGTCATCGAGTCTTTCCTCTTGCAGCACAACGGCACACCATACGGAAAGGAGTATCTTACTCAATCACTGTCAGAATCGGTATGAGGATTCCGAGCTGCCGCAATCCGGACTGCGCTATTGGAAGCTCTGAGCTGCTATTGCCATTGGATCCTGACATCCGCAACTTTCCATCATGACATCCAGCAATTCATTCAAAAACTCCTCCCGCTACTAAACGACTGTGAGGATCTCGAAAACACCGAAGACCTCTATTTACTTTCATCTATCATCCGGATCATCAGTAAGCCTTCAGGCATCTTGGCTCCTTGCGGGGTTGTTGTTGCCCATCGTCGTCTGTGCTTGAGCCCTCTGCAAGCGCAGATCTCCCTTAGGGCACCGACTCAGTTGCGAGCATTTCCATTAATAAGCCGGTCTCGCTCTCTGTGGTGCTATACGGTGCCCACTTTGATTTTAGTTTTCTTGAACGACAGCCATATTTATGAGACCATCTTGAGCGACGATGCATTCATGAACGTCATCGGAATTCTCGAGTGTAAGTATATAGCTATCGATCGGGTCCCTAACATAAAGCTCGTTTGTGGGCGCAATGCCAACTTAACCATCGTTCGAATCAGACGATCGCGACTTTCCGAACTCCAAAGCGAGCTACCGCGACTATCTCAACAACGACGCCAAGTTCAAGCAAGTCATCCCCATCAACAACCCCGAGATTGAAAGCAAGATCGTCCAGACATACAGAGTGACCTTTCTCAAGGACGTTGCCCTTGCTCGGCTCCTGGACGATGGGACTTTTTCGACCTTGAACTCGATGATTTTCTTCAACCACATCGATATTGTCTCGCACTTTTTGCAAAACGACGAGTTTCTCGACAAAATCTTTGCCATCCTCAACAGCGAAGACGAGCCCGACAAGAAGAAAGAAGTCATCATGTTCTTGCATGAACTCTGTGGAATCGCCAAGACCCTTCAGCCGATCAGCAGAAATGCGTTTTACAGGTCAGAGTTGGATACTATTGCGTGCAAGCCGTTGCTCTCGCGGCTTGGTGGCTCCCGGGCTTGCAGCTCTGGCTTCTGTTGCCCATATAGGATCGTGACACCTGCCGCTGATTCACTTGCCACCTTCACGCCTTTACTTCCTCGCTTTGTATGGGGGGGGGGTATCGTCATCGAGGAAACGAGCATTGCGCACCCGCGACTGCTTCTTGTGTTTTCTTCGAAAGCTCTAACCCGACTGCGCTCGACTGCTTTGGCACTTCATCATCCAGATCCCTGGCGCAACACGGATTGTTTTCGATATTCGAATATACCCTTGGGCACGATGACACCTCTGTTCGGCTGGCAGCCACAGCTATTCTCTCTAATATCCTCGATCACGACCCATCGCTGGTTCGCTCGTTTTGTCTGGCACAAGTCCGATCTCAGCAGCGCCCTCTGATCGACGTCATCATCGAACGGTTTGTCAGCGAGACCGACACTGGACTGCGTATGCAGATCTCGGAGATCATCAAAGTCCTCCTGGACACGGCCGGATCGGAAACCAACGGCGGCTTTGAGATGGCTGTCCGTAATGTGACAGGAGCAGGCGGAACGCCAAGCGCAGAGGCCGAGGAGTTCCTGGGGATTTTCTACGAAAGCTATATTTCCAAGCTGACTGCCCCGGTCCGCGACCTGGACACAAGCAGCTTGCCGAAGGTGACCAGTAAGTGATGATAGTAGACTCGTCGGATCTTGTCGCGGCGACGAGGAGACACATATACGAACATGCACTCTCTGTGGCGCATTAGCTCGTGCACCACGCGCAGCCGGACGGTCTGGCTAACTCACGATATTAATCCGGGCAACATCATCCTAGTCGATGAAACGGTCTTTTTTGAACTGGGTGAAAATCTGTCCTCGTTGTGTCACCACATTTGCGACTTGATTTGCTTTGCTGTCAAAAACCATTCCTATCGGAGCAAATACCACATTCTGGGCTCCAAGCTTCTCGACAAAGTCGGAAAGCTTCTGAAGGCCAAGGAAAGCTACATCCGTCTGTGTATGTATCGCTGTCATGCGGGGCCATGGCCGGGATGCAGCTTTATGCAATGCGTCAGAGTGCCTTGGCTGCTGTCCGATGAAAGCCCATTGATCACGCTATGGCAACGGCATTATTCGTCGAGTTATCGAGTCGCTTGATCGTCCCACTGTTCGGCGATCTGGTCAATCGGCCATCGGTTAACATATATGCCTCGCCACACCTGTCGCTCAACCAACAGCGGCGCTGAAAGTCTTTCGAACCTGTGTGGGGATGAAAGATGATTTCTACAATCGCTCGATGGTATCGTCCGAGACCTTCAAGCTCATCCTGACAGCGTTTGTGGAAACCAAGGCTCGTTACAATCTTCTGAATTCAGCATGCCTGGATCTGTTTGAATTTATTCGAAAGGTGTGGCTCCCGCATCGGACTGTGGCTGCGACGATTTTCGAATGAGCAATATGCGACCTCTGGCGGGGGGAGGCATCATCGGCTCACAGTCGATCTCTGTCCTCAGGAAAATATGAAGGTTCTGATCTGTCACGTGGTCGAGAATTACCGAAAATACTTTGACGACGTCGGCTACGTCTCTACCTTCACCAGTCTTGTGCAGAAATACGAGCAGCTACAAGAAGTGCAAAAGTCAGACGAGGACAGGTAAGGTGTTGATCTGGCAAAAGGAGTCCCGCTTTGGACGGCCAACCTGTCGAGCACAGGCATTCCGTCAGCTTGGGATGGCTGTGGTACTCCGCAAGTGAATCCAGAGCCTGTGGCGCCAGCTTGCTTACCGAATGTGCTTTTGTATTTACCCTGGCTGCTCTGTCCAGCGCCACCACGCCGAGCACCCTCAAACGGGATGGCTGGGAGAAACAAGAGGACGATGAGGCTTACTTCAACACCGATGACGACGATGATACGGAGAATACGGATGCCCAGGGCAATGCCTCGATACCAGAACAGGCCCTCGAAAGCACGGCCGACAGTAGTGGTAACAACGGCTCGCTCGTTCCAAAGAGTGCTGACGCCCCGAAGCCACCGTCTGTCCTGCGCAAAATCGAGTTTGTGAAGGAAGGTTCATCGGTAGTTGCCCCGCCCAAGCTGGTTGACTATCCAGATGACGATGACTCGGATGAGGAGGATCTGATATCGTCCAAGCGAAGAATCACTCCGAAGCGCAAGGGCTCGCTCGTCTTTAACGTTCACAAGAAAGCGCCAAGTCCAATCAACACCTCATCCATTGAGCCGGGACAAAACGACGGCTTACCAAGCGACACTGCTGCGATTTCGGCCTCAAAACGAGGGCACGGCGCACTAGAATCCCCCGATCGAGCGCATCCGGCTCCCGGAAACAGCCTTCCTGAAGTTGAGCCTGCTGGTGCAGTTCCGCCGACAACCACCGATACGGCGCTCAGTAGCTTACCAGATACCGAAAACACACCGCTGCAAGTGCAAGGGAACACCGAAATTCGTAAAAAGGTCAAGTTCTCATAGAGCCCGGTGCGGCGGAGATGCTGTGAAGCAGCTGGATATAGTCTGAGGGAGAGAAAACAAACAAACAAACAAACAAACAAATCCATCCACACGCTTCACAAACGAGTCCCTCTGATGCAGCCACAACCATGCTCCCGCTTGGGACTATACTATGATACTGCGGCGATGGTGGTGGGAGGGAGGGGGACTGCGCTGGTGGTATCCCTTCTAGAAACGAAGAAGCACCAACGTGAGGAAGCCACATGTCCGTCGGTTTGATCCAGATCATGATCCTCTGTAGCGGTCGCTGATCTCGCCAACAAATTCTCGTGGCTAGATAGTCGCAGCTGTGCGATTGCTCCCTGTTATCGTCGACGATCAAAACACTGTCGTTGGTCCGGGTAATTTGGCTAGGAGCCAACGGCTTGGATACGCCACGCAGTGATGTTGCACGGGGAGATCAATAGCCAGCCCTTCGTCGTCGATGATGCGCTGCATCGTTTATTGAGAACCGTATGGGACACTGGCCACCTCATTGGTGATTCAGGCCAGTCGTCTCCGGTTGGATCAGTCCACAGCCTCTTGCCCGCCCATGAACGAGCCGCTCAGATGCATAGCCCCCCCCCCGTCGAGCTTCCGCGGCTGGACGGCCGTTTGTGGATCGTCGTTGTGAATGATGAGCGTGCGTACCCAGTCGATAACAGCAACGATCAAAAGCAAGAGTAGAGGGACACGTCGTGCTTCATTCTGTGGGGATTGTATTCTAGCTCCTCCAGCGCTTCGCGCAGCTTCCAATCACCGATCTAGCAATAAAGTCTGACGGCAGCAACGCGGAAGACAGGCGTCTGGCCGTTGGCCATGGTCTAGATCTTGGCTTTCTTGGCAAAGCGGGCAAGCGGATCATATGACTTTTCCGGTTCGGCCTCGCCGCGCTGTCGCTTGATATTGGCAGCGCGCTCTTGCTTTTCCTTCTCAAGTCTCTCGCGTAGTTTCGTCTGAGAAGAATTATAAAGTTCAGCATCTAATGCACATGGCCCAAAGCAACCCAATCGGTATAGAGGCTGGGGACAAGCTTAGCTTGGCGGTGTGGGTTGCTCCAGAATATCTGGGCTGGCATCGGCAGCTCCTTTCGCACAGCTTACCTTGTTTCCATCAATCACATTGGTCTGTTTGCGCAAGTACCGCCTCATGGACGACGACTTGCCTCGCTTTTTCAGTTTGGGCTGGAACTTCTCCTGGGGATGGTTGGCCTCGTACTCAAGTCGTTGCTCCTCCACAATGACCTCTTTGGGGGCGCGATCGACGGCGCCGACAAAGTTGGGATTCAGGGCAATGGTCTCGGGCTGGAGCTTGTCCAGCAGGCTGTGGACTTCCGACTCTTGTCGCTGCTTCTTTGTTTGGTAGGGGTTTGCTTCGAAGGTGTCAAAGTTGGGCTCGCCTGATCCTGGAATGACGATGCTCGAGATGCCCCTGCTGTGTCCGATACCGAGCACATCTTCATATGGGCAAAAGTTGAGATCCTGGACGACCGAGCCTGGCATCAAGTGGGTCATGTACGGCGCCTTTTGCTTTGTGATAAAGGCGTCTTTCCAGACTTGGATGTTGGGTCCGTAGCCCACAGCCAGCAAGCCCTTCTGACTGATGCTGAGTGTGGATGCCGGCGTGGCTGTAAAATACTCGTTTAGGCACTTGTATGTCCGAATATCCCAGATCTTCATTTGTCCATCCAGGCCAGAGGTGGCCATATAGCTAGGGTGCAGTAGCAGCGAGTGAGTGCGTCCAAGTTAGTTGATCAACACCCACACTTGGCCATAGGTTGCCGGGATTCGCCCTGGATACCATACGCGAACAGCCACAACAGCCACAAGACAAGCAACGGCATCGGCTTATCCTGACCCAGGATTAGCGACCACAGCGCCAACACAGCAACCCAGCTCCACAAAAGTCCAGATCGGCAGCTCGCAAACAAATACTCACTATCCGCCGCGATCGACTGCAATTGCTTGAACCGGGCCCTTATGGCACAGCATCTTGACCAAAGGTTCGCTCATCGTCGGCGACCACATCGTCACAGTGCCATTTGAGTGACCCAGAGTCATGATTCCGTTGTACGGATTTTGCGCCAGGGCATTGCAAGGCCCGAGCTTAGTCCGCCATTCAGCCACGAGCTTGCCAGTCGAAGTATCCTGATACAGAATCCAGCCCGGGGTTCCCACCGACACCAATAGAAAGTGGTACGGCAAGAAATCGAGCTTGTTGACGTCGATGTGCTTGCGCAGACAGTGGATTTCGAGGCCGGTGTTGTCATAGATGTATGTGTACTTTTTCTGAGCCACAGCAAACATGGTCTCGTTGTGAAGCCACTTGACGTCCCGAACGGTTTCTTTCAAATGAAGTTCGCAGCCAAGACGTCCTGTTTTCCAATCAAAGGTGGCCACATGGCCTTTTCGGCCTCCGATTAAAATGTGTCGGCCGTTGCGAGTGTAGTCCATAGCATAGGGGCCAAAGTCGGGGAGCTGCAAATCAAACATCTGCGTGTCGAGACATTGGTTAGAAATTTGGTCATCGGCTCGTTTATGACGACAGCGTGCCTACAGACACGGTCTCTTGACAGAGACAGCCAATATTGCTTCGTGTACCTTTGCAGAGGTGTTGATGTCTACGTGCTTGGAGATCTCGTCCTGTGTGAACTTGAAGGTTCGCTCCATCCCTTCGGCCTCGAGGTAGCTGTGGGAGAATGGCGATGCTCCAATGATCAGAACGAAGCATGGTGACGATTTGTTGGGCCCAGGAAGCTCACCGCCGACTTGGTCGTCATGGGGGGTGCACACCAAATTTGGCCACCTGGGTCCTTCCCTGAAACGCCGATTGCTGTGGGCACCAAGCAGATCGCGCAAAGCTTGCATCGGGTCACCGGACTTCGGCTATAGTGCACGTACCCAGCCTCCTCTGGCAGCAGCAGCTCGGACTGAGCAGCTTTGATTGACGCATCTTCGAATCGCTTGAAAGTCTTCTTGAGCGTACCCTTCAGCTTGCGATCTTCGATATTCTGGCAGTTCCCAAAAAGACATCCCGTAAGTACAGCAAGCCATGCCAGGACAGCGCTGCATCTGCAGCAGAGTGCGACAGTCGGCCAGCCAGTCAAGCTTGGCTGCAGCCCGGTCTTCGCAGTTCCGTACAGCCAGCGTGAGTAGATGCATGGCGTATGCGCGGCATGAGGGCTCTGCATTTCACATCGAGAATTATGCCTCATGCTCTTCCAGGCGACCCTGCTTTTCTTTGTAGCGCTGTTGCCGACGGAGCCCGTCGAATTAGGCCAACCCTACCTTGAGCGGGAGGGCGTGGGGCGTTGGGTTTCGATCGTATTTCTTGGACGCTTGAAGGTGTCGATTGGGCTTGGGCTGGGCCTTTACATCCCTCTTCTGTTTGGGGGGTTGGCTGCCCTTGGCTTTGGGGCTCGCCTCTGGCTGCGATCCAAAGGATTTGCGTCCAGACGAGGGACGGCTGTCTTTGGCGTCGGACATGGATGCCGTGGGTATGCGGTGCTGTGCGAGGAGGGGGCTACTTGTTGGTTCAGGCTCTCGGGCGTGCAGCACTCGGTCTTGCTCTGACGCTGCCTGGTTCTGCCTGGCTCTGCCTGGTTCTGCCTGGTTCTGCTTGATGTTGCTTGATGTTGCCTGATGCCGATCTCGTATCGTCCCGCACCACAGTCCCCACAACAGAAAAAAATCACACCCAAATGAATTTCATTTTGCTGCTCGGTGCTGGCCAATGGCGTTGCGCGCCGGCATAAACCACGTGCGCGAAACTCCGACTCGGCCAGGGCCAGGGCCCAGCCAACAAGCAACCCACATTCTGCCTGCAACCTGGACAACTGCCGTGCCGCAACCATGAGCGATAAAAGCAAGTCCAGTTACAACTTCAGGTGCGCATCGTTCACCCAGTGTGCAAGACACTTGTCCCGGTCGCATCTCGGGCTGGCGCTTGCCCGCCGTCTCGAAGGGCTAAACCCGCCGCCTTCGCCCTCACCACTCCAAACAGACAGAGCCTGTCCTTCCAGGCAGACGTGCCAGACTTTCTGAAAAAGCTGCACGGCCAGGCGTCTTTGAGACCCGAGACCACCGGAATTCTAACCAAAAACAGCAAGCCGGTCCCTCAAGCCTTGGAGGATGACGCCGACGATGACGGCCCGGCATACCCAGACGCCGAGGATGAGAAGCCACAGTACGTGCTTGAGAAGGGTATAACGGACCTCGAAGTTGAGCGTGAGCTTGGTCAAGACATTCTTGCGGCCCTGCGAGAGGACAAGCCGGATCCGGGCGAGACACAGCGTACTGGTGGCTCCGCCGGTGATCCATCCAGGCCCGGCGGCAGGGTCTCTGAGACCAAAACATCCAGCCTCGGGGTCAAATCAAACAAGATTCTGGAAAAGAAAAAGAAGATGGATGCAAAAAAGAAGGATCTACTCAAGGGTGTCAAGCAGGTCAAGAACAAAGCGCTGCTATCCTTTGACGACGATGAAGCATAGATCCAGCCGCCAGGCCGATGGCAGTGGCGTTGGCCGGCCACGGCTTGCCTCTCCCCTTCCCCACAGGATTGATTGGACTTTGATGTACAAAACCAACAATGGCTTTGATCCTCTGTCAGACTGTGAGATCGGAGCCTCTTCCCCGCCAGCAATTCCCACCGACGACAGCGGGCCCTTCGCCGATGCCTATCCTTGGGGAGCTGGCCACTGTCCGCTTCGGAGATTCTTTGCTCGCTCCAAACCCAAACAGACCCGAATAGATAGCCCTATTCCGCAATTGCCACGTCTGAGCTATCCAAAGATCATTTCCTGAATAGTCTGTTGGTTTGCGTTTGAGAGTTGATCAACAACGAGAAATGCCAAACCCTGCCTGGGTGAACCTGAGAACCTACGAGGCCGATCCTCCATTTGCAGTAAATGCTCGCTATCTCCTCTCCCGCTGACGACCCAACCGTTGCAATCAGCAAAGAGGCTCTCGGTTTCCCAGAGCACATGTGCAATGACTGATACGGCTCGGCCTTAGCAGCAAGCTCACTGGCGTGCTTTCTCGTGTCGCCAGGGCTGGGAAGCTGAATGGGACGACCAGAAACTCGAGCGACTCTATCGGAGCGACAACCTCGGCGACACCAAGCTCAAGAAGATGGTGCGGAGAGGAATCCCGGACTCGCTGCGAGGTAGCCGCCTGAGCCATGCGTACATAGCTGCCCCTATGCTGCAGCTTGGTGAGCCAGGGCTTCGAATCGATTACGGCAGCGTCTGAACATTCTCGTCCATAGGCCATGTCTATGCAAAGCTACTGAAGCTCGGCGAGCTCGATGGTAAGTACATTTCAGGTGAAACAGTCTCTTCCCCTGACAGCCCTCCCCCCTGCCTCTGCATAGCTGCTTCATCCAGATCCATATCCAGACCCATATCCAGATCCAGACCCATATCTAGATCCAGAGATGCAAGCTCGTTCCCATAGCCGGATGGGCGCGTGCCTGTGGCAAGTCCTGTCCATTTCCCTCACTGCTGATGATATTCCTCCGGGTACTTGATCCAGAGCATGACCGGAACTTTGAGATTGCAAAAATGCGGGTGTACGGCGAAGGAGCCATGACCGACAATCCGATCGCACCGACCTTTGGCGGCCGCTCGTTTCGGTACAAGTTGAGCCTGAACAACGCTGGACGCACTCAGATGGAACACATCCTTTGCATCCTGGCCTACGACTTTCCGAATCTAGAATACTGTCCGTTCGTGCCGGCGCTGACGGCCATGCTTTGTCACCACATGAACTCTGCCGACGATGCCCTCGGCGCCATGGTGTGCATAGTGCGCAAATCGCTCGGAGAGACTCTCGTGACGGCGCGGAAAGGCGTCTCGGATCGATGGGAGTTTTTCCCGACATATCGAAAGGAGGTCAAACTCATGTCACGGGCTTTTGGGAACATGCTCTACAAGTGCCTGCCCAAGGTTCACGCCAAGTTAGTCGAGCTACAAGAGAGAGACGAGAGCCCCATTTGGAGCTCGTGGCTATCGGATATGCTCGCTGATGTTCTGCCTCAACCGATCCTGTGGCGGCTCTTGGATGACTTCCTGGTCGAGGGCTACAAGCCGCTCTTTCGGTTCTGCGCCGCCCTGCTCAAAATTTACCAGGGCCAGATTATGGAAGCGCAGACTTCTCAGCAGGTGCTGGCCTTTCTGACGCCGCACAACATCCTCTGTTCGGCCAACGAGGTAGCCGAAGAGGCTTGGATGGTCAAGTTTGATCGGGCGAACATCACCAAAATGCTTGTCCACCACCGGAGCCTTACAGCAATCAGCATATCGGACGACTTGCATGAGATACAGTACAAGTATCAGCGGGCTACTCCGCGCCTCAAGGAAACGAGCAGCATTCTGGATGAAGACCACTGGATTGCAGTGTGGTCGTGGATTCCTCCAGCGCAGCGGGTTGTGGATGTCGAGCTGCTCTTTACGACATCACGCCATGGCTATCATATATCCACCCTGTTTCATAGTGCCAGTGACATCAAGCCCACTCTCCTTGTCGTCAAGACCTCAACCGGCGAGATCTTTGGAGCCTACATTTCGTCAGAGTGGCCTACCTCCCACGACCAACAGGGAAGATTTTCTGGAAACGGTAGGTTTGAGCCAGAGTCCTTGGGTTGTCTTCATGTCTCGACCCTTGGCCCAATGGCCGAGCTTGGCATGCATCCGCGATGGCAATTTTTGCTTCGCGGTGTTGATGGTTGCGTTTGAAATAGCTCTTTCGACGACAAGATCTTCTGTGGCTGGCTGTATGACTCTCATCCCGCTGTCACTTGTCTGATCACCCATAGGCGAGTCGTTTCTGTTTATGCTGGAGCCACGAGCCAAGATGTATCCTTGGGTCGGTCGGGATATAGAGTTCATGGACGCTATCGAGCGAGAGATTGTCCAGAGCCAGGCATCCATGTTCATCATGGCCACTCGCAAGGATCTATCCATCGGGGCTGGCGGGTAAGGATGTTGCCGTGCGATCCACCCATAACATGCACATCCCGGATTGCTGGCCATGATCGTAACAGGCTGGCCATGGTCGTGACAGGCTGGCCGTGGTCGTAACAGGCTGGCCATGGTCGTAACAGGCTGGCCATGGTCGTAACAGGCTGGCCATGGTCGTAACAGGCTGGTCGTGTGTGTGGGCATCGCCGTGCCACATTCCCATGCTCATCCGCCCCATCCGTTGTTTGATCGCCTAACGCAGGGGCGAAATTGGATTGTATTTGGACGAGACCCTTCAAAGGGGAAGCACTGGCCCGTGCATGACCTTCGGCAACGACCCTCTCACCGGTTCAAATGCCCGATTCTTCGAGACCCACAGCGTCGAGCTCTTTGCTTTCCTCTGAAGAAGTGGCATTGCCCAGCGCAAGCAAATGAAAACGGGGCATCCTGTTTCGTCACCCACCAGCTAGCATTTGGGATGTGCACGGCAATATACTCATAATGACTATCTACCCTTGGAAGCAGGGCAAGATGTGCCTCCAGTCTTTGCCCTCTGTGAACATCGCAACCCAGCAACGCCAATTCAGTCTCACAAAAAGACTCCATCGCTTGAGTCGATCCGAGTGGGCGCTGCATTGACTTCTGCACCTAGCGAGGACGTTGGAGGCACAGACTCTGGGGGAGCGGGGGCAGAGGAACGGACAGCAGGCCCAACGATCTCGCCGAGGCAGTCTTCAGATCGATGGGGCCCCGATAGCTGCATGATCTTGAGCTCGATGGCTTTGATTGCCTTGCTCTGACGGTCAATGACAGCAATATTCTCCGAGATGGCCTATGGTGAGCATTGGCGCAATAGGGACAGAGATGTTGTTTCGATGCGTGAGCCGGCGTACCATCGATCGTACACCCCATCCGATCATCGGCATGGGAATGCAGACAACGGCTTGCACAATCGCAGATTGTAAGGCCAGTCCGCATCGCCCCTCCTTCCTCTGGCCACAGAGAGCTCAAACCTCCAAGAAATCTGGGTCGGTCTCGTCTGCTTCCCGCATCTCCTCGTTCGACTTGAAAAGAAAGGCCACCGAACGCTTCAGCCGCTCACGCTCGTTGTGCAGATAAGCGAGATCGTCTGCGACCGCTTCTGGCAGCGAATAGAGCGCCGAGCTGCGATCTTGTTGAGGGTCGGTCGTGGGCCCCGATGGCCGCGGGGTGAAGTAGATTCCTGGCTGGATCTCCATGGCCGAGTCGATGATCGGCAACGGGCGATTCGGACGAGTGTTTTGGCAGGAAA